GATCAAAATTTGAATTCACTGATTGGCTATTTCCTTTTTAGGAGTTTGTATTACCGGCACAAATAAGTAAAGCCCGTTGTACGTTGTACAAACTCCGTCCCTGGTATTTCTGACATTCGGGATCTTCGTCACATGTACCGGTCACGTTTTCGGATCTCACACTAGCTAATAAAAAACTCGAGTGCGAATTTGTAACTTAAATAGAATAAACACACACTAATGTAATATTACGAGCTATATTTGATTACTAATAAATAGCGTCATATGACGTCCCATGGTGCCTGAGTACCAAGGGGGTTTTTTTTTTTAAAAAAAAAATCCAAATATCAGCCAAAAATATTCACATTTCATGCTATATTAAATTATGAAATCTATACAAAATTCACCTTATAAATAATCATAAGTTATTTCAAATATATTCTCTAACAATCGTACCTATAATATACTTAAAAAAAATTATTATCTATAAATATTAATCCGTACTATATAAACTTCAACAAAACACATCTATAATCACTGCATAACTCTCAATATAAACTTCATCCGTTAACAAAAATATATAAAAAAATAACCAATATTACATATCTATGTAAATATATTACTTAATTTAATCACACATAATCAATTTATAAATTTTACATATAGACTCATTTCCTGCATCTTACCAATCTTCTAAAAACATTTATTTCCGTGCGAAGCACGGGTTACTTGCTAGTAATATATATATAGTAATTGTTATAATTGTTATCGTTATTAATTTTTTTTTATGCTTAACGCAATTGATGATGCCACATAAATCACATATCCGGGGTTTTTTGTGGTTACGTTGTAGTAGTTCATCATACTGCATACTAATCCTGATTAAATATGCACATAGATCTGATCTGATTAATACTTGAAAAGTTTTGTCGCAAACCTAGCTAATAACTGAGCAATTATTGACCGGTCATTTGACCGGTTATATGATCGGTCCAATAACTGCGGTCGGTCGGTTATGAGTTAATGACCGCCAATAACCGACCGTGACTGAATGGACCCACCCCTATTCTGGACATAAGGATATCGCTCATATACATTTAGTTGTTTGCCTTTTTCAGACAAGTCCTAAAGAACTCATTAATAATGATAAATCCATTAAATTTTAATGATAATATGGAATGTTCTATTTTAACCAAAATATAACTTTATTTTGGGTACTAATTTGATTCCAAAAATTGGCATATATCATTTAACTACATACAATGCCAATATCATAGTTTGCATTATAACATTATCATGGCATCATGGATACCGGGTAATGATCTGCTACTGGACCATTATTATGATTAACATGTAGATTATTTTTACGATATGTATAACAAATGCAAGATACTAGAATGAGTCCCATTAATCCTGAAATTATACCAATAACTCCACCAACGATGCCAAAAGTTTCGTTAGGAGTAGTAATATAACTTGGGGTTGAAGATGGAGATTGGTTGCCATTTTGAATTTCATTATAAATTTCATATGAATTAACCCATTTATAATTATCTTTTTGACTTATATCAAGAAGTGAAATATTATTTGTATAACCATTATAATAAATGGAAAAATAATGAGGATCATATTTTCCTAAATTCAAAATAATTATTAGCTTGCAATAAAGACTTTATAGCTTAAAATTATAATAATAACTTTTAGTATTAATTACCAAATGCAATAATAACATAATTATGAACTAACGTAGCAGTATGATAATATAACCCAGGTATAAAGCCATCGTTCAAAGCCGTAAGATTTGCCCAAACAAAAGTTTTAATATTTAAGGTGGTTATTAGACCTTGAGAATATCCACCTATTACCAAAATTAGGTCATGTTGAGCTAATTTGAGAAGATCAAACATAATGAGTGTTATTAAAAAATAGTAATAGTTCAGGATGATACTGAAATCAAATGATTCTGGAATTTGAATTTAGGCTGAAGCTTAGTTTATAACAGAGTTTACGTGGTTTTTGTAAAGTACATATTTTAAAGTCAAGACTTTAAATTTTAGTATCATCCGATTTCAGCATCATCTAACAGTAATTATCTGTACATTATATTATTAAATAAATTTATACGGTACGTATTAAAGTTGAAGTGTGCCCATATATAAGTGATGGAATTTGACCTGAAGTAGGCTAAAACGCAATTAATATTATTTGTTAAATAATTTAGCAATTAAAAATCACATTAAATATTATACTTACAATTGTTTTCCATAAATTATTATTTATATTAAATACTGGTATCTGTTTAAAAAAAGATTCTGGGGATTCTGTTCAAAAATTGTCAATATTACATATGTTCAAACAAACCTGTGCCATTAAATTAACAATAGATCTATTTTTATATAAATATCCACCGATATAAATAATATCACCATTTTGTAGCAATGTTGCAGTATATTCTGATATTGGAGGAGGCGCAGTTGTCAATGATAATGACGAAAAGGTGAAACTTGAAATATCCAACATTATCATAGTGCTTTCATTATATGGATTAAAATAATAAATTATATTTTTTGAAATAACGCCTTGAACATAAGACACAAATATATTTGCTAATGTTGTATTAATTCCAGAAAAATTAAATGTAACCCATTGTTCTGTTAACGTATCAAATTTATCAACACGACTTAAAAGGTCGTCGCCACTAAAATAATAAATGGAATTATTATTAACAGAAGCACCATTAGTTGGGGAATAACTTGTGACAAAAGAAAGATCAGTCCAATGCATTGATGATGTATTGATTAAATTAAAAGACTTTGAAACATCAAGATAAAAAAAATTATAAGAGGAGAATGTGAAAGATCCACCATCACAATAAAGTCTATCTTTAATTAAAACTGCATTGTGCCCGGATCTTGCAGCAGGCAAAAAAGCATATACTTCATTGCCCGAATAAAAAATTTGAAGTAAAAGAGTAATTAAAACCAAAATAAATCTCATTTTTTATTTGAGCCTTCAGAAAAACATTTCTTGGTGTCTAATGCTAAAATTAAAGTTTTTATGTAAATAAAATTTAGATTTAATAGCATTAAATTGATGTTATTAAAGTTACACCGTTGTCATAGGACACGCAGCCTATTCTGATTACGATTTATAATGTTATGTATAATTATATCCTACGTATAAGCATGTTAGAAGAATTTTCTGTTACACTACAATTTATTCGCACCATAATTAAGCTAATTTAAAAGTAAAATCTATCGGATATCTGTTAAATCTAACATAACAGATCCAATCTCTAATCCAAACCTTAATATATATTTAAGTACACTTGCCAAAAAATTCTTGTTCATTTACACTATGAAGTCGACATTTCAGTAGATTCATTTTTTAATACACACAAACAATAAAATTTGATAACATTCGAACCTGAAATTATGATAAATGAGAAAATAAAAAGGGAAAGATTTCACTAACATATAAAAAGAGACAAATTTAGAAATGGCAAATCAAGTTTTGATAATCTTATTTAAGGGAGATTATTGTTAGATTACACAGATAGTTGTAGAACCGGAAAGTAATATAATGCATTGTTTTAATTGCCTAATTGGTTAGACAAAAATATTCTCTATATATATTATATATATATATCCGCTAATTTACAGAATTGGACTTTATACTAATAGATCCTAGCTAATTAGATGGTTAAATTTGAACACCAAATAATCTCAAATAAATTTCGACGTTAGTGTAATATAATTACCGGGTGTTTGAAAAGTCCCTATGCAAGACCTTTTTATTAATCACTAAGCTGTGTATTTTTGATAGGATAAAAGTTTCTTTTTATTAATAAAAAATGTAACACTTCTAATAATCAAAGTGATTAGCAAAAGGTCCTGTCTAGGGGCTTTTAAACCACTCGTCAATAATGGTAAGATCGATAGATTTTATTGATAAGATAAAATTTCATCTATTTTAACCTTAATCTCTTGTTCTATTTTAGTAAAGAATTTAACTATACAAAAGGCCTTTCTTACCACAATACAATGATTAAAACTTTATTTAAAGCCTTCCAAAAAAAAAAAAAAATTAAATACTTATAAATTTTAGGAACGAATATAACTTTATTTTGGTACTAATTTGATTCCAAAAGTTGACATACATAATATATCTACATGAAATACCTATAGTACTCCATGCCATGCATTATAACATGATTATGAAATCATGGACACGGGTATAGGTGGATGTGAAATGACTTTCGTTAATAAAAAGGGTTGATCAAATTGTTGAAGTTATTTGATGATGAATTAGTTTTTTATTATTAGAAATTAATTTAAATTATATCAAAATTAACTAAGCTAAATCAAATACAATAGTTGCTTTAGATTTAATTTATAGAAAAAATAAAAATGTCAAAATTGTTTTTATTGAAATTAAAAAGTTGAAAATAAATTTCACCCCAACTATAGACACAGTGTAATGATCTGCTGCTGGTTCATTATAATTAACATGTATATTATTTTTACAATATGTATAACATGTATAAGATGCTAGCATAAGTCTCACTAATCCTAAAATTATACCAATAATTCCACCAACGATACCAAAAGGTTGACTGGGAGTGTTAAGATTAGTGATGGGAAAAATGCGCATGTTTCCGCAATCATGTGCACGCATGAAACCTATCTCTAGGTAAGATGAAGATTAGTTGCTATTTTGGATTCATTATGAATTTCATATAAATTAACCCACTTATAATTATCTTTTTGACTTATATCAAGAAGAGAAATGTTGTTTGTATGGCCATCATAATAGATGGAAAAGTAATAAGGATCATATTTTCCTAAATTCAGCAATATAACTTAAAATCATAATATATTATGGGGTTTATTACCAAATGCAATAATAATATAATAAACCAGGGTTTCTAATCGATTTGATGATGTTAACACGTGATTAAAGAACGTTATCATTATCGAATTGATTAAAACCCTGCAACTTTTCTGTGGATAGAGAGCTATTTTTAGAATTCCTGGTTTTCTCTTGGCGTCACCCATATAGCCAGTATAAAGCCATCGTTCAAAGCCATAAGATTTGCCCAAACAAAAGTTTTAATATTTAAGGTGGTTATTAACCTTGAGAATATCCGCCCATTACCAAAATTAGGTATGTTGAGCTAATTAAGAAGATGAAAAATAATGTGTATTAGTGAAATAAATAGTAACATCGATGATGCTGCTGAAATTAGACGACGCTGGAATCTGACTTATTTTAATATGATTTTCTTTTAGAGTTTGATTAGTAATTAGAATAAGTTTTTTTATAACAGAGTATATGTAGATTTTTTAAGACACATTTTAAAAATCGAGACTAGGGTTCTTCAAATGCCCATGCCAGGCAAATTGGCACTATGCCAGGCATTAGTGCCTCATGCCATGCCCATACCTATAGGCTCAAA